TATATATATATATATATTTGAAGGGCATGAACATTTCATTGAAAGAGCTGGCAAGGGAATTGTCATGCAGAGAGAGTGAAGAGAAATCCCTTCAGTTACTAATCTCCTGTTACAGAGAGACCAAATAGGCCACACAATTCAGCCACCAAAAAAAACCAGTCCCCTGAGGTCTAAATAGCAACACAGTTCAGCCACAAAACACAAACTGAACTGGGGAAATCAAGTGCTCAAGCTTTTCCATGGTATCTAGTAGAATAATGGCTTGCCAATTATTTGCTATGATGAATAACACAACAATGTTCCAAGTGGGAGACAAAATCATCTTTAGAGATCTTGACTAATTGGCCAGTGGAATCGGTGGAATAGTGGCCTCCAAATGCATAAAAACGACAAGTGTAAAAAGAAATCATTGAAATGCTCTGCTCTCCAATTCGGCAATCCACAGTATAATTACTAAGTAATGGGATTGAATTTGGTTGGAAGCTGAAAGTACATTGTCCATGACCTTTCCTCTTTCTTTCTCTCGAGAAAGTTTGAGCTAGCAAAGCAGTGGAGAAGCCCATGCCCAGCGGACAAACCCAGCTAGCTCAATGGCAGTTGGCCCCTTCCGGTTGTGAACCTGCCCATTTCTCTCTGGTTTTGTGCAGCTCTCGGAGACAAATGTTGGTAGTTGATGGGCCATCTTGGAATTTAATATAGTTTCAAATCAAGCATGGCCCAATATCCTCTTTTAGTCCTGCTGGGTTTTGGGTAAAGACTTTTGTCCTAATTAACCCATCTCGGCCTTGATGTAGTATTTATTTTTGTTACAAAATATATGTAGATAAGGTAATGAATACAATATAAACAAATAGTCACTCTGCCACACGCTTCTATGGAGCAATTTTTATTGCCAAGAGAATTAAGTGCAAGACGATAAAAGTTTTTTCAAAGTAAAGTTCTTTCTCCATACAATATTAATATATATGCAGTACATGCACTAATAAAATAATATTCAAGTGATAATGTAACAAATGATATGATAGTGACAAATCATATTAGATCATATCTTTACATTACACGCAAGTGTCCATGTGTGTCAAATAAAGATAAAGAGAAAATTGTGAAGATGAAGGGTATTTTTTATAAAGATAATTTTAGTTGACTTTTGTGTATCTAATTAATGATGTTTTTCCATAACAATAATGAAATATGTTTTCAAGTCAAGGTCTTTTTCATACAATTTTAATAAGAATTCAGTACACAGTAAAGGCTAAAAGGTGGCCATTTATAAAATAATTACATGATAACATAACAAATCATATGATAATAACAATTCTACGTATGGCATAACATCAAAAGAAAAAAATATTATATGATAATAACAAATATACCAGTTAATTGTTATATTACGTACCAAATAGAGATGGGGACAACCCTGACAAAGACTAGTTTTCATAAAGATAATTTTAGTTGATTTTTTTTTTTGTGTTTTTTAATGATGTGTTTTCAAACAATGAAGATATTTTTAATTTAAGGTCCTTTTCTTACAATTTAAATAGGAATCCAGTACACACTAATGGCTAAAAAAGCAGGCCATTACGAAATATTACAAATCATATGATAATGACAAATATATATATATATATATATATCACTTAATTTAATTGTCAAGGTTACCCTACCCATAGGTACAATGTTTCTAATGATTAGTTGATTTTGATTTCATCTCTGCAAAAAAGGTTCTTTACGATTGAGGGGCTTTTTATTTTGAATGAGAAGGTCATTGTCACGGGTCATTACTTTCTCCTTCATAAACGCACTTATGAAAGTGTGCAGTACACTCGCTTTTAAAAAACCCAAGACTTCCGGTTTTTATCCGATGTGGGATAGAGGCACTTTCCTCGTGACACTCTCTCTCACCCGATTCCGGAAACGTCCTCGTTGCCGTCGGCCACCCTGCCTACCTTGAGTCCCTTAGGCCCGGGCGCTTTGGCGTGAGTCAGACGAGGTCCGATCCGCTCT